ACCTCTGCACTTCTACTTTCTTGGATCATAAATAAACTAACCCCGGAAGTAACCAATATGTTGATTGTGTCCTGACCAACATACTTATCTAAGACATGTTTCTAGCATAGAAACTTCTTAGACACAACACTTGGATGCCTCCTCTTCCAGATCAGGAGTAGGTTCCAAACATAAGTGATCAATACACATTTGTTCAACAATATTCTACATAATTTACTGGTTAGATATTCCAACATCTGGTAGGACATCAGTTCCCTTCATAAGAAACACACCAAGATATCCTCTATCAAAGCCCGGAGATTGGCCTTTTAGGGTTGTAAGCAAAATTAAATTGCTTCTACCATATCTCTTTTCAACAAACTCATATAAGAGTGCCTTTATGAGTGGACATGGGATGAACCTCAAGAATCTTTGATAACTCAAATAAGCTATTTGAACCTCTCCTCAAGTATCACCACACCATGGGATACACCTTCAGAGGAGAACAGAGTGTTGCAGACTCAACACACACAACCACCAAGAGTTTTCTATCAGATATATATACAGCGGAGCACAAACCAGAAAACTCCTCACCGACATTCAGGAAAACACAAAGGCTTTAACAAACACATCATACTCCAGGTGCAACAGGTTAACCTATGTTTGAAAATAAATTAAACCCTCAACACAGTAGCTTACAACCAAAGCTACAGGCCTGAAAACAACACAGGCAGGTCCAATACAAACCATGTCATGAATAGTCCATCCTCCACTTCAAGGGACCATTCAAACAACAATATGAACTCTCCAAGTTCAAACAACTTTTCAGTAAATACCTTCTTCCCTTGCCCATGACCAGAAAGTATATTCCCATGATCTCACCCAGAACAGAACAAGACAACCTGCTCTGATACCAATTGAAATTCTAGTATAGTCAGAACTCAGATGTCCTATAAGATGTCGAGATATCTGATCTGACAGAAATAACATGGTAAGGTATAAACATGTAAAAACAGTACTGAAAAGCATAAACGACACACCAGAATTATTAACCCAGTTTAGAGCAACTCTCCTACTCTGGGGGCATACCAAGCCAAGGACAAATCCATTATGATAGTATCAACTTGAAGCTAAACTCCCATGTTTACAACTTTTCGCTTAATCACTACCCGTGTTATATTTCTATCTAAGACTCACCTAGATATGAGGCCCTCCTCAATCCTTCTTCAATCCCAGACAACGATTAGACAACAACAATTATGAACAAACGGGAAAACACACTTCCATGATAATACCTAGCTAAGATTCAATACTAAACTCCCATGTTTACAACTTTACTCCTAACTAAGAACAACAACTTGGAGTTGCTTCAAAGCTTCCTCCAAGAATAATACTCAACTTATTACCTACAGGTTTCTGAGTGAGAACATAGTGACCATCTCACAATCCGAGTGGTTCACATATACAAAGCCATAGACTTCTACATCGTGGACCCGTGCCAAACTAGGTTACAAACCCTTCTATTTATAACTTTTTTCCCAACTGGACTTGGGCTTCTAATCACAGCATATCAGTTGTTACAAACCAGCAGTAACTTTTGCTACAAACAAGGTCTTCAATCATTAGTTTCCTAAAATATCTCTATATTTTGAAATTGCATAATCTTCAATATTCTGACTTGATTCTTCTTGACCTTTAAATAAGTGCCACATAGGATTGCATAATATTCTCTGAATATTCTGCATTTGTTAAATCATAATTGAATTCACTTATCCAACTCAGCTCAGGCGCGATATCATATGCTCCTTCATAGGAAATCTTATACAATATGTTGTTCTAAATGATGAGAACTTCTCATCTCAACATGTCTCAACAAAAGATAGGACTTCTTGCTCAACTTGTTCATGCTAGTAAGTTAACACCTCCTATCTAACATATTGTTGTCTTATTTATTTTATAAAAAATAATGTCAATCCTAAAAATATAGACCTTACACCTATTGTTCTAAGGTGTAGACTAACAAATGAGCATGGAAAACCTATTGATGCCACAAAATAGAAACAAATAAATGGATGCTTGATATGCAAGGTTGCAATTAGGTTTGATCTAGCATATTCAATGTGTCTAGCTGCAGTAAGGAGAATCCTTATATACTTGAGGGGAATTGTGAACCTTGGTGTTTTATATAAGAGAAGTGATAAGCTGGTGGTGAGCTTCAGACTATGCTGGAGAAAGTGATGATATGAAGAGCACTATGAGTTATATGTTCATGCTTAGATTAGGCTCAATCTAAGAAACAACTCATAATTACTCTCTCCAGAAACATCCTTCAGTGACTTGGACAAACTCAAGAACATGGTACAATTATAATGTGTGACAACAATTCTACAGTTAAGCTGTCAAAGAATCCAATTATGTATAGAAGATACAAGCATGTACATGTTAGATTTCACTTCGTAAGAGACCTAACATTGTAGTCCAAAAAATTATCTTCCAGATGTGTTAACAAAGCCCTTGTAATATGTGAACTTGGAGAAAATGAGTAGTTAGTATGTGAACTTGGAGAAAATCAGTAGTTAGTGTGTTTTAATCTAGTTGTTGTGTGTTCTCATATTAGGGGAGTGTTTGTTAGAAAGTTTTTTACAAGTCTTGGCATTGATTATTTTTTAACTTTGTGTTGGATAAAAGTTAATTATCCAACTGTTGGAAAATATTATATTTCTTGTTTCATTATTTCCTTTATGGCTCTTTATTATTTTACCATTATTCTCCTTTAAAGAGAAAATTAAATATATTGATTGTATCTTCTCTATACAAACCAGCCTAAGGCTGAAGAATAAAACACAACAACTTTTACCTATTTTTCCAATATGGCATCGAGAGCATTGAATTAGGGTTTAGGGGTTACTGTAAAGCTTTCCATAACTAGTGGGGTTCGGGGAATGATCAACCTCCTAAAAAACGAAAAGGTAAGTCTATCTATGTTTCTGAAAGTCGTATTTTATATCCTGATATAGATGAACCTGTTGCCATTAGAAAACCTATCAGATCTTGCGCTAAACACCCTAATGTCCAATTTTATATCATTTTCAAATTTGTTTTCATATATGTCTGCATTCACCTCGAAATTGTCTAGTGTAAAAATTCCAAAAAAATATACAGGTTGCTCTAGAAATTCCAAAGTGGAGGGAAGTTGTATTTAAGGAGATGAAAGCTCTTGAAAAGAGCAAAACTTGGAGTGTTATGTCACTATCAAATGGCAAGAAGACAGTTGGATGCAAATGGGTGTTTATTGTGAAGTAAAATTCAGATGGGTCAGTTGAAAGATACAATGCTCGCTTGGTGGCTAAAGGTTTTACTCGGCCTACAATATAGATTACTCTGAGACATTTGCTCCTGTTGCAAAATTTAACACTGTCAGAATTCTTTTATCTCTTGCTGCTAACCTGGATTGGCCCCTACACCAGTTAGATGTTAAGAATGCATTTCTTAATGGCGATCTAGAAGAAGTATATATGGACAATTATCATGGCTTTGAAAACAAATTTGGATCAAATATGTGCAAACTAAATAAGTCTTTGGATGGATTAAAGCAGCTCCCTAAAGTTTGGTTTGAAAAATTCACTCAGTCCATGAAGAAACAAGGATACATCCAAGGACAGGCATACCACACCTTGTTCACAAAGTTCTCCCACTATGGGAAAGTTGTTGCTCTGACTATTTATGTTGATGATATTGTCCTTACTGGAGATGATACAGTAGAAATGGCAAGAGTAAAAAGGAAATTGACAGTTGACTTTGAAATCAAGGACTTAGGATTCATGAGATATTTTCTAGGTATGGATGGAGGTTGCTCGGTTAAAGAATGGTATTATGGTTTCACAACAGAATTACTTTCTAGACTTGTTGAAAGAAACAAGAATGAGTGGTAGTCGTCCTAAAGATACCCCTATGAATCCTAATACTAAACTTTGGGAAGAAAGTAATGTTCCTGTTGATACTGAAAGATATCAGAGATTGGTTGAGAAACTGATTTATTTGTCACACTTAATTTGATATTGTATCTATGTATGGAGTTATCTTGTGATATGGAGGAGCAAAAAACAAGGAGTTGTAGCAAGGAGTTATGCAAAAGCTGAATTTAAGACTATGTCTCAAGATATTTGTGAAGGATTATGAATCCTCAAAGTCCTAGATGAACTAAAGATGAAAATTGAGCTTCCATTGAAATTTTACTCTAACAGTAAAATTGCTATTAACATTGCTCATAATTCAGTTTAACATGACAGAATCAAGCATTTCAAGATATCACGACACTTTGTTAAAAAGAAATTAGATGCTGGAATCATATGTCTATCCTTTGTAATTTCAAGTTAGCACACTGCAGATATTTTGACAACATAAATTGGGCATGATAAATATATATTGGAAAATATTATATTTTCTATTTTATTATTTCCTTTATGATTCTTTATTATTTTCCATTATTCTTCAATAAAAATAAATTAAATGTAGTGATTATATCTTCTCCATATAAATCAGCTTAAGTCTAACGAATAAAACACAATAGCTTCCCTATTTTTTCCAATACCAAACTAATGGTCGTTACTTATTCTACAGGTAACATCTCGCGCTTTATGTAAGAATCATTGATTGGCAATAATAAAGCAAGCTTCTTTCCCTTTGCACCAACAAAATATGGGTCCTCAATTTGCACCGAATTTTATCCAGAATTTAGATCTACACAATAGAAAGCCATTATGTCTAGTTTTCATCCCTCAAACAGCCAGACTACTAGACTAGTAAAATAGATTAAACGGAACTAAAATAATTATAACGATATTTAAATAAAAATCGAATACATCCTTGTCAAAAAAATAATAACCATAGCATCAATAGAGTATTAGGATTCCGAACACGACAAATTAAATAAATGTAATATCAAACATACTCATAAGAGAGCCAAAAATAAGAAAAATAAATAATGCAAAAGTGTGGTAAGAAAGAACAATAAATTATTTTTAGAAGACCAAAACAACAGTAATCCAGCTCAAAGCTAAGCCTCCTAGCATCTTCAAACTCCTGATAGCTTCTGCTCCACTCTGTAGAAAAAAATATAAAACTCAAGAAGTTGGAACATAATATCGTATACAAACAATCCAAAAAATTATGATCTAAATACACCATAGCGTATATAACCACATCAATATTTAATTAATTAACATCATAAAGTAACGCCAAAAAAGATAAAGTAACGCCATTATATTAATAGTATAATATACTTTTTATTTTTTCTTTACGTGAATACAAAACTATGAATATAATTTAAATAAAAACAAAACACATGCTTTATCTTTATGTAAAAACCATGAATATGTATGTTTTTCTTATATTTAACTCTGGATCTGGATGTAAAAAAAGTACTCCATATATAACTCTCATACGCAAACAAGAAATTTTTATTTTTATTTTCCCGAACCAAACCCACCGCCCATGGTGGCGCGTGGCACACCTTATACTTAGATTTGAGTTCAACTTGAACAAATGTTGTTCTAACAAGCGAAAACAATTACAGATCTGAAAGCATACATTGTACAAAACCAGCGCGTGTGATAAATGTATAAACACATAGGTAAGACAAAGAAACAAAAGAGGAGCGAGAAACTAACCTCATCGTTTGCTTTAGATGCGGGTCCAGGTGAAGACGCATCTCCACTTGGTCCAGGTGCTTCTGATGGTGGTGCAGGTGGACCCAACAACGATGGTGATGGTGCTGGAGCACTGTGTTTCTTGCCTTTCTTTCCCTTGCTAGGTGCCGGAGCTGGTACTTCCGGTGTGGTTGGAGCCACCACGGGTGTCACTGCGGGAGGTGAGCTAACTGGAACAGGAGTGGGTGGTGAGCTGACCGGAACTGGTGCGGGTGGTGTGCTGACTGGTGTTACGGCCGGTGGAGATGAGGCTGGAGGATTGGTTGCCGGAGCAGGTGCAGCGGCTTTGGGGGATGTAGCTGGAGGTGATGATTTGGGAGAAACAACGGGAGCTGGTGAAGCTGGTTTGGGAGGGGCGGATACAGGGGATGAGACTGGAGTTGTTGCGGCTGGAGTAGTGGTGGGGGCTGCGGAAGGTGACTGGCCTCCGACGCCAGCGACGATAATGCAGATGAATGCGAGAGTGAAGAGATTGTTCCGATCCATTTTGAAAAAATGAAACCACAGTTTTGTTTTCTTCTAGAGAGAGAGAAAGAGAGAAGGTTTGAGAAGAGATGTTTGATGAAAGGTTTATATAGAACTTTGATTTTATTTGACGGTGATGATTCTATTGTTGGTACATAAATGAAATTTGCCGATTAATCATTGCCGTTTATTGTTAAGTGGGTCCCATGTTATCTCGGGCCACAACTAGCCGTTAGATCAACGTGTCTGAACTACGGGGCCCACTCTAGAGTTTTCAATCCTCAACTGTTTTAAGTTTTCACGCTAAATTAAAGACAATTTAATTAAGGGGTAAAAAAGGAAGATACTTAGTTTTTTTTTAAAATGTTGATAGAAATTTTCTTAATTAAAAAAGTTTAAATGTAATTAAATATAATAAAATAAATATTTAAAGTTTTAAAATATTGAAGGTAAGGGAATATTTGTTTAGATAGTTTATTAATTTGTGTTTCAAGGGCATGCGTTTTAACATGAATTTTGACATGTTAGTCTTTTTTTTTTATAGAAAGAAAGAGTTTTTTATCAGTCACTCTTCTTAATTTATTATCAGATTGATAATGAACTCTGAAATTTTCATCCTCTTTCACCGTATTTATGAAATTTGTCAAGTTATCAAGTTTGAAATTTAAACGTGTTATCTCACTTTGTAGATGAGAGGCAATACATAAGAGTTTCTTCTTTTCATTCTTCAGATCAACAATGATCTTCCTTTGTTCTTCCTCTTTCTTAAGGCTTTCATCACACTTGTCACAAGTATCCTTGTAGGACGCATCTAGGTATTTATACAAATCATTCTCATCACAAACTTCCACTTCATCTGTCCATATGCCAGATAGAGCCAACACGAGTTTGGCAGTCTCAGAATTGTCTCCATCTTTTGACTTATCATCATCAGGTCAAGATGTAGTGAAACCCTTCTCCTGTTTCTTAGGAAAGTTTGGACATTCAGGCCTAATATGACCATATCCTTCACATTTAAACCATTGAATGCCTTTGCTTTGACTTGACTTTTCTTCTGTTCTTTTTTTCTTCTGAGAATCAAGATTGTTACCAATGTCATATGAGAAGTTCTTGACATCTGGTCTCCCTATCATGTCCAATATTTTTAATACCCTATTGAATTGCTTCCCAAGTAGAACAATAGTATTAAACAGATCTTCATCAGTGCCCAGCTCATCTTGACTTTTATCATCTTGATACAAAAGCCATGCTTTTGTTCTTTTTCTCAGCCTTGTCAAATGTTTGAAGTGACCCAATAAGTTCATCAACTCTCATGCTGTTGATGCCATGAGCTTCTTCAATTGTTGTGACCTTCATGTCAAATCTCCTAGGAAAGGACCTAAGGATCTTTCTGACCAGCTTGGCTTTTGACATCTTCTCTCCCAGTACACTTAATGCACTAGCAATTTCAATAATCTTCATTTGATATTCTTGAATTGTCTCATCATCATTCATCTTTAAGTTCTCAAATTTGTAAGTGAGAAGCTGAAGTCTTGAAATCTTCACTTTAGAAGTACCTTCATAAGTTGTCTTGAGAATTTTCCAAGCTTCCTTAGCTACAGTGCACGTATTAATCAATCTAAAAATATTTTTGTCTACTCCGTTGAATAGAGCATTTAAAGCCTTGGAATTTCCAATAGTTTCAGTTTTAATCTCTTTCCCATCTTTGTGAATTGCCTTCATAACATGATGCTTCCATCCTTTCAAAATAGCTTTCCATGCTTTGTTGTCCATAGATTTCAGAAAAGCTACCATTATGACCTTTCATCAGTCATAGTTTGAACCATCCAACATAGGTGGTATATTGTTATATGCTTCTTCTTTTTCCATAGTGCCAAAAAATATATCCCTGAATCTCACCCAGTAAACAGAAAGATAAAGTACAAAAACGTAAAGAACATACATAATTGTTAACCCTGTTCGATGTAACTCACCTACTCTGGGGGCTACCAGGCCATGAAGGAAATTCATTATCAATAGTATCAATTCAGAGCTAAACAATCCAAGTTTACACCCCTCACTTAATCTCTACCCAGTGCAACTTCTACCTAGGTACCTGTAACACCCCAGTTTTAATTATTTGATTTATTTAATTGGGAATTTATTTTATTAGAATTAATAAAATAAAAAGAATTATTTATTTTGGAATATTTGAAGAAAATAAAAGAAATAAGAAAATATTGGGTTTTTAAGTTATTGGGCTTGGATGTCGTTAGTAAAGAGTGGGGGTGCAAAAGAAATAAGGATATATATTTTGGAACTTAAGTTATTTTCTCACTTTTCACGATAAAACAGAATTTGGAGATAGTTGGGATTGGAGCTCTGAAGAACGAAGAACAATCGCTCAAGAGTTCAAAGCTGCAATTTGATAAGGTAAGGGGGGCTACTACTCGATTTACTTTTGCTTATGGGTTTAGGTACGATTGATTTTGGATAATCGTAGGGAGAAACCCCAATTTTTAGATGTTCTTAGGGATCAATAACCTTAGGGTTGAACCTTGTTAGAAAAGGTTTAGGTTCCCAAATTTTATGAATCAATTAGGGATTTTAGGTTCCTATGGTGGATTTGGAGTATATTTGTATGATCGAGAGTTTCCCTTAGGTAATTCTAGGGATAACCTCAATGTTGTTAGGATTTCCCTAAAGGACGGGTAATATGTAACTTAAGGTCAATTTTATAAAACTTGTTGTTGATGAAAGAATTGTTGATAAAATAGGATGTTTTGAGACGAAAATTCTGAGTTGTGTATGATTTGAAAAATAAGACCTTAAGTAAAGTAATGTTGTCCTTAAGATTGGAAATTGGCTAACGTAGAAGGGAATTGTGTTTCCAATTGATGTGTTGCCTTGAGTTATGCAAAATCGATGTTGTTATGTACCGAAATGCACGTTTTGGCTGGTATTTTTCGTGTTTGGTTGCTGTTCTGAGCATGCTGCAGATACAGGAATATTTTGTACGCGCTCATCAACACGGGCCGTGTTGCTGCACACGGGCACCCGTGCTGATCTTCTGTATTGGTAAAAATAATGTGTTTTCTGGACACATTTCCACACGGGCCGTGTTGCTACACACGGGCACCCGTGTTGACCTCCTGTGTTGGCTTCTGAATTCTGTTTTCTGTGCATGCTGTTATGTACGAAATTGATTCTGTTTTGATGTGCAATGTTTTATATGTTTGGAATATGCTGCTTATTGATTCCCTAGTGTTGTTTGATGCTTGTATCGAATAATGTTTGTATGTTATGATACCAACACTACGTAGATTTTATTGTCATGCTTTGAGATGATGTTACCAAGCATGAATTATGACATAACTTGATATGATTGGTTGATGTTTAATAGTATGCTGAGTGATTACATGCTATCCATATCCTGTTATGATTGATGTTGTTGATGTTGCATGATATGTTTTATTGATGTTAATAGTATGCTGAGTGTTACATACTTTACATATCATGTTGCATTTGTTAATTCCCATTGTGTGGAATTAACATGGTGGCCAATATACGTGTCCGCGATTTAATGGAACGTTGAGGTGGTAGCCGTGTCCGCGACATAATGGAACGGTGAGTTGTCCGTGACCCGAGATATAATGGGGCGGTAAAATGGTACCACATGCATGGGTGTGTTGCATTATATTGAATATAACATGAATGGATGATTTTCCAATGTTGTATTTAATTGATTGTATGCATGTATTGTTGCTGAATTGTTAATGATGTTTGATGTTAATTATAAGTATGAAAAGTAATATATTATGAATATATGAATTGTAAAGGTTTCGTAAACTATGAAACATGTTAACTGTTCGGGTGATGCTTATGGTTTTTCTGAATTGATTGTTATGAACGTATAATCAAAGGTATAATTGAGATGCTCACCCTTACTGTTGAACATTTCAGATTGAGGAGCTTCGCTCAGATGATTGGCGAAGACTTGCTGTTTCTAGTTTATTTCGGTTTAAGTATTGTCCGGGTCATGCTCTGATAGTTGTAACTCCGGGAACGTTTGTTTGTCGAGCTGCTTTAGTCAGACTCGTTTATTTCCTTAGTATTTGGTTATAATATGATGTTGATATATTCCAGGTGTTAATCCCTGATGATTGAAAATATTATAACTTTGGTTTTATTAAATATAATATTCCGCTGTGTAAACATGTATGAGTTGCTTCTATGTTATGCATGACAGGAACTTGTTTTTATTAAAAGAGAATTGTGACATCCTCGTTAATACATGTACTCTGAAAATATGATTTTAATTATTTGCGAAATTTTATGCGGGGTTTTAGAGGGTGTTACAATAGTGGTATCAGAGCATAGTCGGTCGTTGCGACCAGAGTCTTGAGTCAGTCATTCCTTTTGTATGCGACTAGTGTAAGGCCACACTGTCGATACTGTATTCTGATGAGGAGTATGTTTTAATTCTCAGGAATATGGCTGGAAGAGGTAACGGACGAAATGATGCTGCACTCGCTGAGGCTTTGGGGATGTTAGCTGGTGTACTTGCTGGAAATCCAAATGGAGGCGTGATTGGTGCTGATAGGCAATTGGGGAACTTCCAAAGGAACAATCCTCCGTTGTTCAAAGGTACACATGACCCTGAAGGTGCTCAGAAGTGGATGAAGGAAATCGAAAGGATTTTCCGTGTGATTGATTGTGCTGAAGATCTGAAAGTCAGATATGGTACGCATATGTTGGCAGAAGAGGCCGATGACTGGTGGGTTGCAACAAGGACTGAAATGGTTCAGGATGGAGAGGCACTGACTTGGGCTAACTTCAGAAGGGCTTTTCTGAGGAGGTACTTTCCTGAAGATGTTCGGGGAAGAAAGGAAATTGAATTTTTGGAGCTTAAGCAGGGCAATCTGACTGTTAGTGAGTATGCTACTAAGTTCACTGAGCTGGCAAAGTATTATGCACACTACAACAATGATGAGGCTGGAGAATTCTCTAAATGTATCAAATTTGAGAATGGTCTCCGAGAT